AAATTGTGTGATGCTTGCTGTTTGCTTCATGACAATCTGAGAGGACCACGTGGTTAAGGCACAGAGGAAGCGAAGTTGGCCGGAAGTTGACAGTTGTTTAAACAGGAGAATGAGTGCTAAAGGATCCATAATACCAGGCTGTCAACTTCTGCATATGTTTATAATTACCTCTAATAAAATATTTTTTGGAAAACATTGGGCAAATATTAAGTGATTTAGTGCCGTCAGACCCCAGGTTGCAAGAAGAAGCCACAAAGAGTAATGTAATTTCTGCCTTCTCAAGTTCTATCACGGCACCTCTCTTGGCTTAATTTCGTTTATGTCACAGGTTTTCTCTCTCACCCATCGTACTGTGGGATCGCGGTGTATTTCTGCGGTATAGCAGTGATCTTTGTGCTTATTGCTATAAAAATTGGCTGTCATTTCCAGCGAATATTACATCCATGAGAACTGTATTTTACTAGAAGTTTCTCAGTAAGTAGCAGTCACTGGTCACCAGGCTACTCAGTACAAAAACCTAACGTCCTCCTGGACTCCTCCCTTTACCTCCTCCCTTATGGTCTGTCACCAAATCCCCTTGGTCTCACTCAGGAGAAGACAGACAGGTCACCAGCAGGTGCATGAAGAAATGCATGGCCTCTGTAATCATCAGGAAGACGAGAATTAAAACCACAGCAGCGTGTTACCTCCCACCCTTTAAACTGCTCTTTTCAGAAAGGTGAAAGGTGAGGGTTGACGGGGAAATGGGGAAAAGGGAATGCTGCTTTTTAACTGAACCTGATTTATTCTAACCGGAAAATAGCAGGGAGGAAGGGGTGTTCTAGAAACTGATACGTCTTTGAAACAGAGAAGAGGAACTCCTGTGCAGTGACAGAGGGAATACCAATTACCGCAGCCCTTATGGAGAAAAGCGTAGGGGCTCCTCGGAATTTCAAAGTAGAGTTACCATGGGACCCACTGATTCCATCACTGTGGGCTTTCCAGGCAAAAGAAATGAATATATATACACAAAGGGAATGAGATCGATATGCAGAGATGTTTGCACTCCGTGGTCATTGTGGAGGTGTCCACGGTAGCTAAGCTGTACAATCGGCACAGTAGGCATTGAGAGAGAAAACACTGCATGCTTAGTTCTACTGGAATCTAAAAAACACTGAACTAGAAACACGGGACAGAATGGTAATTACGAGAGGCCAGTTAGGGCTGCAGTGTGAGGCTTAGGGAGATGATGGTCAAAGGGTACAAACTTTGAGTTAGACACCATCAGTTCCAGGGATCTGTTGTAAATTATGGTCGCTATGGCTAATAGCGATGTGGTGGAAGCCTGGACATCACTAAGAGAATAAATTTTTAGTGTTCCCATTGCAAAAGAAAAATTACATGAGGTGCTGTTTCTGTGAATTGCTCGATTTAGCCACCCAGCTGTATATCCACGTCATATCCCGGAAGCGTAGATCGTCTTTGTCAATACTGAACCATCCGTGGGCTCCACTCCCAGGGCACACCCCATGTGCGCACTGCTCCTATGCACAGCCGGAGGAGCTTGCACTCAGACAGCTGCTCTGCTCGCAGCCTGCACTTTTGTGCCAGTTGAGTGCCTTGTTCCTGAAAAACTTGTATGATTTTTCTTTTCTTGGCTAGGGATTGAACCCAGAGCCTGCACTAAGCTACATTCCCAGCCTTTGTTAAAAAAAAAAAAAAAAAAAATTATTTTATTTTGAAACAGGGTCCTAAGTCAGTCACTACATTTCCAGGTTGGGCTTGAACGCTGGATCCTCTTACCTCAGCCTCCCAGAGTGCTGGGATGACAGACGTGCACCACCGTGGTCCACTCGAATATTTTTTAAAAATCAGGGCCTACCAAGCCTCTTCTTCAGTGCTTGATTGATTGATTGATTGATTGGTACTTGATTGATTGATTGATTGGTACTGAACTTAGAATGTGACCTAGGCTTCTTGTCATGGCCAGCAAGGCCCGTGTGACCAGACTCCTGCCTGACGCTCTGCCTTTGTTTCAGGCTGCTGTCTCCCTGGATTAGTAAGTATTCGGACTCTCAGTCCTGTACTCTGAACATAGGCATGACAGGCCCTGCAGCTCTTAATTCGAGTTGTCACTGGGACAGAAATGCTTTTCCCGAGCGTAGTTCAGCACTGGTTTCCACGTGCCGTCACTTGCTGCTCATCCTTTTCCACCCGTGGCATCCTGGCCTCTCTCTCTCCCCTCACCTCTGTAGAAGTCCATCCTCGGCCAGCCCCGGAAAACCACGTCTCCCTGATGTGACCTGCGGTTGACCTGTTTCGGATGCAGCAGTGTGCTCTGTAGACTACGGAAGCTAAAGCGCTGCAGATTAAACAATGACAATTACAGTGCTGACTGTGAGATAACCTTTCCTGTTGAGACAGTAAAATGTTGAACGTGCACCCTTGAATTCATAAACCACACCTCTTCTTGAATAAGTAAATGAATGCGCTTTGCTCACTCAAAATTAACTTGTTTGGTAGTGATGTGTTGAGAAAATTATTCTGAAAAAGATCCACAGATAGAAGCTACAAGAGCGGGTAGGTAGGTCACGAATAACACTCCCCAGGAAGAACAGGTGTTCACAGCGTGAGTAAGTGTGAGAGTGACAGGGCTGTGTAATTGCCAGGCAGCTAATTATTGCCAGCATTAAGTCAAATTCTGTGTGCAGGTCACGAGTAGGCCAAGAAACATGAGCTTCCATGGCCCCTGAGGAGACTGGCATGCAGCATCCTACACTGTCCAGGAGGGGAGGAGCAGGTCCAGTGAGGTTGGTGGAGCTGGCAGTGGGAGATCAGAGGATCCACATCTGATTTCTGTGTGTCCAGTGAAGTTCTTCTGAGGGTATTGGCTCAGTGTAGCTTTGGGAAAGAAGGTGGGCAGTGGTCGATATAAAGTACAAAAAACAGGGAAATCGGGTGTTCGGTGGGTATAAACTGAGTTTGAAGATGCAATGCTTGGTTCAGTGGATCCTCATGCTTCCGGTCCATCTTCTTGCTCAGCACTAAGCCATCGGAGGCTGATCTCTCAGCTCAGCTGTGTGTACCCTGACTGTGTGAGTCAATTCCTTTACAATGTAGGAAGAACACGAACACCCCTGCCCCACCCTGCTCGGGGCCCCTGCCCATGTCCTTTCTTCTCTCTGCATCTGTCTGGCTAAGTCCTGGGCATCTGAAGGTCCTTCCTGGAAGCCTTGTGTGCCCTCCCTGGTCTGAGGTGACAGTGCTTCTGTGTCCTTTTTGACACCTGTTTGCACCTGCCGGGCCGCCGCACCTCACTCGGTGCCCGGCTCATGTGGGCGTGGTCAGTGGGACATTTAGAGAGAAGCAGGTCACCGTTGTTTAAATGTTTATGTTACAGACTTCGCCAAGCCAGATTCTTAGCATACACTGGAATTTTTGCCTGTATGAAAATCTGGGGACTCCTGTCCTGAGGCACAACTTAAAATAATTTATTTTAAAATGTACTTGAAGGTAACATCACTACCATAACACAGTAATGCAAGTCATGATAAAATCTGGCAGCCACTGTGCGCAGACTCATCAAAAATAGAAAACGGGGGCAAATGTTTTAAAAATAAACCTCTTTGTATCACATGTTATACAGTAGTAGCATAGAATTATGTAGCAATTTATGCTTCTCCTGGATCATTGAAGGGGGTTTATCCAAAGCCACAGTCCTTCCCTTTGCTATTTTTTTTTTTTGTTTTTTGTTTTTTTTGGTTTTTCTCCGGTACCGGGAACCGAACTCACGACCTTGCGCTTGCCAGGCAGGCGCTTTTGCCGCTGAGCTAAACCCCCAGCCCCCTTCCCTTTGCTATTAAACATGTCAGTTCTGTGCATCCTTTGGCTATAACTTTTTAACTACTTTCCTCAAGCTTGTGCCAAATAAACGTCAGAGTTGGAAGTCACTGAGAAAGGCGTTGATTTTAATTTAATTGCGTTCGGTGGTGGTGTTTGCTTCTCCAGACCATATGGCTGTCTCCCATTGCAATCCCCACGGTGGGCTTCCTCTCCTTCAAGTGTCCGTGTTTTGAATTCTGAGAGCGTTGGTCACTCAGTGTGTTTAAAATTACGGCCACATGGGCCTTTCCGTGTGTCCTTTTTCTATATCCAGATGGACAATATAGATGCAGTTGCCGTATAGCTCACTACTTCCAGAGAGCGGTCGAGCTCTTCCTTTCGTCAACATCATGTGTGTTCTATAGCTTTAAAAAGGAGTTGTGTCTGCTGTTGTGCTGGAAGCTCCTACTGCCCTCTTTCATGCCGGCCACACGTAGCACCCCACACTGAGTGCTGGTGTGTGCATTCTGGTCTAACCTTCTTTCCTGAACTAGCTTTGTGGGCCTATTCATAAATGAATTTTTTAAGTGACCCAGAAGCTGCCAGATCTCTTAAGGACTTTTCTTGATGTGTTTTACACCTCTGTGTTTGGCTTAATTTTCATAATTGTTCCTAAGAATGTGATAACTTCAGAGCTATTACTTTGCTGCTGCATGAAAAAGCTCAGGGAAAACAGTTATACTTTGCTAGTGGTTTGTAAACGCTGAACAGTATATGTAAGTACTTTACAAGATCCCTCTTTTATCCTTGTAAAGTAGTCAAATGTGTCCAAAGATGAGTGCTGAAATACTCTGTGGAAAACCCAGGTGCCTGTGGGTCTGAATGCTGCCCCACCTGACATTACCGAGGAAGGGCAGGACAGTTTGTTCCCTGGGGAGCCTTCTGCTCAGGTCTTCTTAAATTCATCAGTGTAACAGAAAGACTGCAGTCACCGCTAAGTCATTGTGGAAACATACTGACTGTTCTGGTGCTGCCTGATACAGGTGTCTAAGTGATTTCCACTCATAATATTATCTTAAAATAAAAAAAGATAACCCTGAATGTAGTCACAAAATGTTCAATACCTTATGCACAAAAAGAAAAAGAAAAGGAACTCACTAACCGGAGACCTTGTTTTCTCTCATCTATTCTTTTTCTAGGTACAGCTTGGCCAAGTAGAAATCAAATGCCCTATCACCGAGTGCTTCGAATTTCTGGAAGAAAGAACTGTTGTCTACAACCTCACACATGAAGACTCCATCAAGTATAAGTACTTCGTGGAACTCGGCCGAATTGATTCCAGCACGAAGCCATGTCCTCAGTGCACGCACTTTACAACCTTCAAGAGGAAAGGACACCTCCCTACCCCATCCAGATCAGAGAGCAAATACAAAGTAAGCAAGTGCCCGGCGGGCGCCAGGGTCACAGGTCTTCTTGCGGGAACGGCCCACGGGCCCACTCGGGCAGCGCTAACTCGAGCCAGAGCCGCCCGCTTCTTGTCTGAGACTCTGAAAATGTGTGCTCTGGGGAGGCTGATGCTAAGAGAGTTCTTAAGGATGGAATTCAAGTTTTTCATTTCCTTTAATTGCGTTGAAAATTTAATTGCATTTAATTGCTGATAACTTAATGGGAAGGCGAAACTTTAGTTGTTACTGTTGCCAAATGCTACATAAATTATAAGGCTTTTTTTTATTGAAGCATGAGCTTGACCTTTTCAGTGGGTCCCATAAGTCTCCTGGCTCTACTAAGTGAAACTAGTGTAAAACAGTGTCATCCGCCCATCACTGAGGCCACGTAGAGTGTCCGCGTGTGCTTGTGCTGTGCTTAGTATAGGAGGCACGCAGGCTTACATAGCACGGTCCCTGCTTGCAAGAGGTCTCATAAAGGTGTGTTGGGGGCTTTCTGTTCCTGGAAGTCAGCTGGGGACAAGGAGAGGTTTGCCCTGGCTCTCAGCATGGGAATCGGGCCCATGAACCATGGGTGCTGTTGCTGTGGGCCAGGGCGGGAGTGCCAGGCGGAGCAGGGGAAGGAATGGTCCCCCTGACGGAGACCGCCACCTGACCAGCCTCATGCCTCTCTAACGGCACCTGCGGGGGAAGACGTGACCACTCTTGGGGACTCCAGATCTGAACCAGAGCAGATGAGAGGGACGCAGGCTCTGAAACGACAGTTCAGTCTCATTGGGACAATGAGCAAAGCCTCGAAAAATCTCCATACTCCTGGGGTCCTTGGGGACGCTGGTGAAGGACTGGGTGCCAGCAATGGCAGCACCACGAGGAAGCGCAGCTCGCCGGGCAGGTGGCTGTGCAGGGGGTGAGTAGCTCCGTAGCTGGTCCGAGCACAGGTGCGTTGAGTCCACTGTAAGACCAAAGACTCCCGTAAGCAGCACTGCAGGCCAGGAAACCTCGGCCCTCACCTGGAAAGCTTAGGGACACACAGGTGCCCCGGGGCCATCCCAGAACGGTCACCTTGCAGATGTTCGAGCCTGGGCAGATGGCTCAGGGCTGCGGAGAGGAGGAGACATGCGGTAGAGGGAGCAGGAAGCTGTGAGCAGGGAGCCATCTCACTGGTCCTTACTGAAAGGCCTCACGCAGTGGCCCTGGGGCTGCTGGGCGTCACCTGCAGTCTCAGTGAGCTCTGCCAGGCCCAGTGGGGTGTCCCGCATCACTCGTCCTGCAGGCACTTCCCCACCTGCAGCGGTGAGCCCAGGACGTCTTGGTTACTCAGAGCCTTGTGGTGACTAATTGGTCTTTGAAAGTACTTAACTAGCACAGTGAATTTTTCTTTCGTTTTTTACTTGCGGTTTTTGTGCAGCCTTGCTTCTTTAAGGTTTAACTGTCAGGAATAAAAAACCCTTTTGTTACTGTTCTGTAAAAGCACTCATTTTTGAGGTCACAAAATCGTATGACTAAAATAAACTGTATGGTCCTGTTACGAAGCTGACCCAGCATCAATAGACTACTATTGTCTGGCCCTGTGTATTTTGGGACTGTTTTAAATTACTTTTAGTCCACTTGTAAGCTATTAATACTATGGGGGATTAGTTGTCTTAGAAGGATTTGGATTCTATAACTTAGGTTATTGGTTGTTTTCTAAATGATGTTTAGAATTGGATACATGTACAGTGAGACTATAATATTTTGGAATTTGGGGTCATTAAAACATATATGTAACGAGGTGTGTGGTGTAAGCCTATAGTCCCAGCACTCTGAGAGACTGAGGCAAGAAGATCACCACATGTTTGAGGTCAGGCTGGGCTATCTAGACAGTTCAAGCCTAGCCTGGACTGTATAACTGACTCCTTGCCTCCAAAAACCACCCCCTCTAAAAGGCAAAGCAAAACACCTATGAAGCAAATTTTCACAAGTAAAACTGCCATGAGAGGGAGGATTAGTTTTTGTTACTCCTCATCATTACTAGAAGAGAAAATTTGTAGCACAAGAGGTACCGAATTCTCATTGTGTATCATACACTTTTGTAGGAAAGCTTCAAACGCTGATTTTTAGTATTTTTCACGTAGCGTTTATATAGTAGTGCTTATCCTCCAACCCCAAGCTGCAGTGTAACATTGGCTGCTGGACTCACAGGGCCTCACCTGCCTGGATATCACAGGGGAGGAGGGCACTGCCCACAGCATGCACGGTGGTGGTAGACTCTCAAAGTAACGTTAAGACCTTCGTTTTTTCATTTTGATGGGCATTTTCCATTTTGCTGTTCTTTTTTTAAACAATTCAGTGTTCCCAAGAATGAAACCCACTTCCAAAAGGGTATAACTCGTCATAACTTTAGGAGTAGCAAATTCAAGAACTCAAATGTGATAAATTGGTATAAACAGGAAAAAAAAAAAAGGTTTCTGCTAAACTCTAACCTTTCTGAGTGATTTAGAAACTCTTTTATTGTTTACAGCCTTAAAAGGGGTTACTACCTATTGATAAATTCTACCGTTTATCTCAGCAGTACTACTTCTGAGTCGCTGAGTTGTAACATTTTGATCTCAGATATCACTCTTTGAGCTCTTATTACAGTTTTTTCTAAGAGCTCAGAAGTACTTAATATATTAGGTTAAAGTCATTTGAAAATGTCCCACTGATTTGACAGCTGAGTGAGTGCTTCTCGTATGAAATGTGAGCTCTATAATGTCATATTTAGGATTGTGTTCATATAGCATTTTGTAAAGACCACTTGTTAAAATTTCTGTACTCACCAGAAAGGTAAATGATGAACAGGACACATCCGTAAGCAGAGGCCAGAACTCTGGGGTGTCCATGTATCCTTTCAGGCCCCCCCTCAGCAGCCCCTCCGGCAAACATTTGAGTGAATAAAGCTTTTCCTTACCTTGGGAACCTCGTCAGACTCATACTGTTTGAGGCTGTGCCTGTCTTAGATGCATTGTGTTGCTATGTCCTCCATCCCTGAAACTCATGCCACAATACTGGAAGTATTAGCATTCCATTTCTACAAGGTTGCCTTCCCATTAGAAATGTAATTTCTCACCTAAATAGTGTGCTGACCTCTTAATGCCTTCTTAGTGCAACATCAACCGCTTGTCAGTGCAGGGAACAACTTCACGGTGGGGAAATAAAAATGGTGGTGGAGCTGTGACTCCTCTGAGCTTGTGTGATGCATGCAAACAGACATTGCATGCTCACCCAGCGTTTGTTTCATAGCAATCATCATCTGGGATCTTGTGGTATATTTGTGCGGCTCATTCGCAGAAAGTCTGTCTTTCTAACTCATCCCTGCGAGGCTAGGCCCAGGCTTGCTGGATTCACTGCTAGCAGCCAGCACTTTGTCTTCTAGACAGTGCATTTAAAATATATCTGTTGCGTGGATACTGATACACAGGCCCACGTTTCCATAACAATTTGGACTATAACAAAGTAGGTGGGAAATGCTGACCTCATAGGAGAAGGATAGGAGAGATCAGGAGGCATCACTAAAGAGTAAACCTGTGAAATCAAACCTTAAAATGTGAGTTTACCAAGGAGGAAAAGGAGAGTCTGAGCGCTGAATTCAAACTAGATGTAAACTCTCTACCTGCCGTCCTACCTCTGCAACCTTGGGTAGAGCTTGCCTATCTCTGCCTGGGGGTAGTAATGGTACCCACATTCTGAATGTGTGGTGAGGGTTGAATAGGATCACACAGACAGTGCTGAGCACCAGGACTGACATCTAGTAAGTACCAACATGTGCCAGAGCGATTGTGATCATTTTCACCGCTGGGCAGACGGAGCAGAATGAGCAAGGCTGGCATTAGGAAGGGAGTGGGAGTCCAAAGAGCAGGTGAAATAGATGAGGTGACTTTACTTCAGAGAAGGTACCTAGGAGGAGAATGGCTGGGTCAAATGGGACTTCTAGTTCTAGTTTTTTGAGGAATCTCCGCACCGATTTCCATAGTCGTTGTACTAGTTTACAGTGCCACCAACAATGTAAAAGAGTTCATTTCCCCACACAACCTCACCAGCACTTGTTATGATTTGATTTCCTGAGGATAGCCATTCTTTCTGGGGTGAGCTGGAATCTCAGTGTTGTTTTAATTTGCATTTCTCTAGTGGCCAGAGACGTTGAACATTTTTTCATGTAGGTATTGGCCCTTTGTACTTCTCCCGAGAAGGGTCTGTTCAGTACAGTTTATAGCAGGACAGTTCATAATAACTAACTCTTGGAAGCAGGCTGTACACCCGTGAACAGAAGAATAGGTAAAGAAAATGTACTTACACACCACGGAGTACTGCCGTGCCATGAGGATAAACTTGCAGCATTCATAGATACATGCATGCACTTTGAGACCATAACATTAGGTGAAATAAGTCAGATACGCAAGCTTAAACATCACATTTTTCGCATACATGGGCAACTCAAAAATATGTGTATAAATAAAGAGTAAAGCAGAAGATAGATAAACAGGAATAGGGAGACCTTTCTCACTGGGTGGGGGAACAAGCTGTGGAAGAAGGGAAAGAAAGGGGAAGGAAAGGGATGGGGAAAAAGAATTGAAAAACAAAAATGAAAGTTGACCTTTTGCAAATGGGAAGGGGACCAAGCATTGGAAGGGAGGGAGAGAGGTGGATACCAACGCCCCGTGATGAATGTAATCATTGTCTTCTGCAATCATGTAATGAAGAAGACAACAAATTAAAAATATGACATAAAACTGCGTAATGGAAGGAAAGGTGGAATCGAGTCATCTGGAGGAGCAGCAGAAGGTTGAGGGAGTGGAAGATTCCCGCGCTCTGAATAGGTCGATGGGGATCGGGGACGGGGCAGAGCTACCCGTGAAAAGGCTCAGGGTCACTCAGTACCGTGGTCACTGATGCCGGGAGGTGAGAGGGGTTATTCCTGACCCCACAGGGATGGAAAGAAATTGCTCTGGGAGGTGAGAGGGGTGATCGCTGTCCTGTTGTTCTTCAGGGAAAAGCAGAGAGGAGAGGATGACAAAGGGATCAAAGCAGACATTTAACTCCCAGGAACTCACTGAAGTAGGTGCAGTTCGAGGTTTCATTCTTGTTCCAAGTGTAGACTAAGAAATGGTTGTTTTCATACTGATTTGGAGAAAGAGTTGAAAGTCATGCGTATCAACATGGAACATATTAAAGGCATAATTTCTCTTTTTGGTTTCCTTAGGTAAACTTAGTAACAACCTCAGTTTTTTTCAAAAGTGTTTTTTCTGTTTTGGGGTTTTTTTTGGGGGGGTTGGTTTTTTTGAGACAGGGTCTTGCTGTGCAGTTCAGGCTGGCGCTGAACTCACTGTGTGACCCAGGCTGGCCTCAAACTCGCAGAAATCCTCCTGCCTCAGCATCTTGAGCGGTAGGATTACAGGCGTGTAGCATCACGCCCAGCCCTTTTCACAGGTGTTAAGCAGAGCTGTGATAATGTACACAGTGACGTGTGACATCTCAAGGTGGAAGGAAAAAGGCCAATAAAATGTACTGGAGAAATTCTGTTCTTAACTTACAGGTTGCGCATTTTTCCTAAGCACTATAGGTCAAAATCACATTTTATTTTTTTATTTTTTTTTTTTTTTTGGTTTTTCTCCGGTACCGGGAACCGAACTCACGACCATGCGCTTGCCAGTCAGGCGCTTTTGCCGCTGAGCTAAATCCCGAGCCCCAAAATCACATTTTATAAAGCCACTCAAATATTATTTCCTTATATTGTACAGGAATTCTTGGAGGGCTTTCAGAAAACCAGTGAGTCCATATGTTCCTAATCCATATGCTTTAAAGTGTGTTTAAACTTCCTTTAGGGCCAGGGATGTAGCTCAGTGGCACAGCACCTACCTGGCAAGCACAAGGTCATGAGTTCAGTTCCCGGAACCAAAAAAAAAGAGGGAAGACTTAAACTTCCTTTAGTAGAAATGATTTGGGACTTTTCTGTCCATATGCACAAATGCTTGAAGCTTCCAAAAAGGTATATTTAATATGCGCCTTCGGTCTTCTGACGTCACTCTAAGTTGACACTGCTTACAGTTTGAGAATCAGCTTGTGAATCAGCCCATAAGGTCACGGTAGCTTCTGACACACCCTAGTTTCTCCTGGGACTCATGTGTCATCCCTGTCTGGAAGCCAATAGAAAACAAGTGTAGTTTCGTAATGACGGTTGCTGGCATAGATGTTTGAGGGAGGTAGAAATGAAGTTGTCTAGCCTGCTCTAAACAAGCAAGTTAAGCAGAGAATGTGTTACACATGTTACCTTAAAAGCATTTATAATGCACAGCTATGACGCAAACCTACAAAATTTTATTCGAGGACATTTCTCCCTGCAGTTGCTAATGAGGTGCTTTGCTAGCATTTGTTGTTCTTTACTTTCTGGATGCATAAAATAGCTATAATAATTCAGAGTTTTTGCTTGGACTTCACCTTCTCACAGCGTTCTGAATGGCGGCAGGCATCTGACATTTTGGCCTGCATGATGCCCTAAAAAAATTCTATGAATGATTATAGTAATCGAGACCTGCAGCTGCTGTATTTTGACCTGCGGTGGTATCAAGAACTGTTTTATTCTTGTTTGTTTTTACCTAATCACATGTAACTGTTGGTCTTTAGCAGAAGAAACAGTGGAGAGTCGTTGCTCTCTGCTGACCTGCGGGGGAGGGGGTGCTCAAGTAGCCCAATCCGGTGCTCGTTATAAAATGCTCAGAAGATAAGACGAAGAGGAGCTAGCACGGGGCATTTCCCACTCCCACAAATGCTCCTGCATTTCTTTATTTGCCCTCTTAGATTGGTAAGTGAACCTAAAGGAGCTGTCTGCACCGCGAGCCTTGCCACGGTGTTCCCACCGGATTCTCACCGTGAGCCGGCCCTGAGCAGAGCCTCAGCTGTACCACCCCCGCCCCCCGTCCTAGTCCAGAACACTCTAATTTGAGACAGTTCATTGCTAAGTTCAGGCCAGAGTCTGTTTCCCTCCTCTCCTCTTCCCTCTTCTCTCTTCTGTCTCTCCCTCCCTCCCTTTCTCCCTCTCCTCTCTCTGCAGCTTTTCACTTACTCATCAGAGACTATTCCCATTCTTCTGTGCACACGGTGAGCATGAGTGTTCCTCCTGCCCGTCCCTGTGTGCATCTCTTCTGAGGTGCAGCCCCTGGTGCGCTGTGTGCAGAGCAGACCTGGTGAAAACGGCTTGATGCCACACTGGACCACTAGGAGTTCAGGCTGCGCAAGTCAAGGCTGAATTTCCCAGCACCCTTTGTATTCATCAGTGATGTAACTCCGGACAAGACATAGACTTAAACAAGTACTTTCCTGCACTTGCTGAGGGAGCATCAGTCAGTGTTTGAAGGTGTTTCCAGTGGACGGGTATGAACAGGAGTTACAGGTTAGCAAGTGGGGGCTCTTCTCAAGTGACCCCATCCCCAAGTCCTGACCTCCTCCATGGAAGCGCGACTCTCACACATGAAAGCTAGGCAAGGCGGAGGGATGGTGCCACACAGAACGAGTTAAGTATGTGAAACCAGTAGCGAGGGACATCTGATCGGAAGGTGATTTGTGAAGATTGCAGCTTGATGGGGCTTAGCTTGTTCTGTGTCAGGCTGGTTTCATCTGCTCTTGGTCCCCAACCTTTAGGAAAATTTTTCTTTCCTTTCCAAGCTTGGTTTCAGCTCTGCTATGAGAAAGTGAGGCAGAGGTTGGCTGCATCTGGCCATGTGTGACTGCACTGTCATTCAGAAGGACATCCCTGGTGGGCGTGAACTCGGGTATAAGACCCGCAGCAAGAGGTCCAGCCACATCCACCTGTGGAGGCCCTCACCTCTGGCAACACTGTGACTCAGGACTGGCGTTAGAAAGAAGCGGCGCTTCCTGAAGGTGTCTGAAGTCTCTTTTCTCTCTGTAACACTGTGCTTCTTCCCGTCTTCCCTTGTATAGGAAGAACATCCTCAGTCCTGAGAAACCCTTTCATTACGCAAGGAGCGCCCTGTCGCACCCTCGCCTGGCAGCTGTCATTTTCACATGTTCCATAGAAGTTTCTGGACCACAGTGTGTTTTTACGGATATGTCAGGTTCTGGGAACTTGGACCGTCTCTATTGGGAATTTGAGCAAGGTTCAGGCTTGAACTGACAGAAGCGGTGTGTCCATTCGGGCTACATTTGACTCACTCTCCTAGGTCGCACGTTCCCTGGAGACTTCCTCGCCTTCCAGCATTGCCAAAGCATCTTTCTCTTGAAACGGACTGGTCCAAGTTTCTGCCTAGTGGTACACGGTTGTATTGCTCTTAGGGTCTGTGTGTGTCCGCTTCTATAAATTCCTTAAGGTCAAGCTACTTTCATTCTTCCTGTGTGTGTGTCTGAAGTCTGTATAGTCAGGACCTGCCTTGGGAGGCACTCCATAAATATTTGATGAATGGGCAAATGAATCGATAAATATGTTTCATTATTGAACGGATTACTGAATATCTGTTCAGCCTGAAGTTCTAATAAAACAATTTCCTCTTGGAAAACTGTTAGCTCTTGTTCCCAGAGTACTTCATGTGTGCATGGACATTGTCTAACACCTAGAGTATAATAAATAATGATTTTGTGATTTAAACTGATGACATATGAAGGAGTATATAGAAATTGGGGGGAGAGAGTTATGTGGGATTCTCTTTCCTTTTGACTTTGTATTTATTTCCTGGGTTTGTTCTTTCCTTGGCGTAATGCCTTTCAGGAGAAAATGCTGGTTGCTTAGGGTGAGTGGACTCGTACACATGCTGTGTGAGTCTCCAGGTACTGCAGTTCCCATAAAATCTAATGAGGTTCAAAATTCCAAACTGTAGGATAGTGCTTCTAGCCTTCACGGATTCTGGAGCAAGTTAGTCAAGATTTTTAAATTCTGATCATGTTATTCTTGAAACATTTGGAGCTTTGCCTCCTGTAGAAGAGTTTGTACATTGATCGTGACACTCACTACAGTGTCGTTATGACAGAAGAGTGTGTAAGCAACGCTGGTAATCTAGAAAATGGTGAAGCCATCCCAGCTGCCCATTATCAATTAGATGTTAGCTTTCCTCTGAGTTCACTTAGTTCATTGTGTGAGTAAAATCTTGAAAAGGGTTTTGCTAAGTCACCTGAGATTGGGAATAGTGTAGACTTCTAACCTACTGGTAGTTTAACATGTTTGCAATGGGGTTGTAATTCATTTGTCTTGCTGCTGGGCAGCTCTGCACCAGTGGTGGTACAGGTGTGAGTGTCCCGTCGGGCGGCGCGGGACAGTCCTCATGGGTGGGTATGAGCCCTACAGTGGGACGGTCGTGCTCACCCTCTGGAGCGTGTTGACGCCCAGCACTCCTCGGCTGCTGCACTTGAAGTTGCCAGACGTCAGTGAAGGAGCAATGCTGGCTGTGAGCAAGGGTTTCGGCACAGCGCACAACGTGCCGGCCTGGGAGCCCCACGAACACACTTAAACGCCGTCCTGCACACACGTGCGCTGTCTACGCTTTCTGAGCCTTGGTTTCTCCTCTTACCTACTTTCCTGCATAATTCTGAGGACAGAAACAAAGCATGGTGGTAGCGTGGACAAGCTCCCTTCCCAGGCAGCGTCGCGTCGGTCTCTGAGGATACGGCCAGCACATCTGCGGCACTGAATATTTTTCTTCCTCACGCAGGTCCAGTGCCCCGCCTGCCAGTTCGTCTGGTGTTTTAAGTGCCACTCTCCTTGGCACGAAGGTGTCAACTGCAAAGAGTACAGAAAAGGGGACAAACTGCTGCGTCACTGGGCCAGCGAGATCGAGCACGGGCAGCGCAACGCCCAGAAGTGTCCAAAGTGCAAGGTAAGCCGCGCTGCAGGAGAGGAGCTGAGCCGCGGAGGCCGCAGGGAGCGGAGCAGCTGTAAACACTGCCCCGCGTCGTCTTGCTCGTTGCCTTAAGGCAGGTGCAGGGAAAAAGAGTATTTGTCATCTCATTTGGGAAGACTATAACCTGAACATTTGACATATTCTCATTATTTGCGTTACCCTTCAAAATTTAGCCTGTTTGCTTTACTGATTTAAAGAGTCAGAACCTTTCTTTTACATTTAAAAATTAAGATGTGCATACAGGGAAGAGCTGGTGTGGAAGCGGCACAGAAGTGTCATTTCTAGGTTGCATAGGATCAGTTGTGCAGCTCCGGATGCTTGCAGTGCTTTCTTTCTTGTCCCTCACTTGATGGCTTCCTTAAACTGATCGTTTTGCTTTGTGGAGGGGAGGGGAGGGAGATGCCAATCCTAATCGGAACTTAAGGCTTCTGTGAATCCCATTGTTTCATTTTTCTCTGCACGCACATAATTAAGAGCTAGCAAGCATTGGAGCTTGAAGCCTGGGTGTTGAGTGTCGTCCATGCACAGAGCCAGGGAAAACATTCCTAATGCAATGAAAAAGTTGGATTGAGTGCTTATAAGAGAGATCTGTAAGGCTAGGCATGGTGGTGCATGCCTGTCATCCCAGCACTCTGGAGGCTGAGGCAGGAGGATCACTATGAGTTCGAAGCCAGCCTTGGCTACAAAGTGAGTTCAAGGCCAGCCAGAGCTACATAGCAAGACTCTCTCCAAAAAACAAACAAACAAAAAATAGAGATCTGTTGAAATTTGAAGGTTTTTTCTTTTTTAAACTTCCTTTAGAAAATGAGGGGTGGGGGATTTAGCTCAGTGGCACAGCGCCTGCCTGGCAAGTGCAAAGTCCTGAGTTTGATTCCCAGGACAAAAAAAAAAAAAAACAACAAAATGATATGCGTGTCTGTGTCTGTACTCTGCCATACGTGGTTTGTACCTGTTGCCAAACTTACTTTTGGAAACCTTGTCTAGATGGTTTAATTTTCTTTTAAGAATACTTCTGCAGTTCCTTTGTGGAGACGTAGAACCAGGATAATTAAGTTCAAATTGCCAGAAAATGTTTAAAGTTTATTAGCTTGAAGCTCATTTGAAATAATGAAAGTGTATTTTGAGTCCTGTAACACCAAGGTACCAATTCACCGTGCCAGAGTCACATACCGTGTTATATACAGACAGAGTAAAACGTAGCATGAAATACCATGCCGCGTTCTCAGCAGTGGGGAGGAATGTTTGAAATAGTTCCGTTGGGCTGACGCTCTTGAAAGTGAGGTCTACAGACGCCTGATTAAAGCTTTCTTTGTTTTGCTTGTAGAAGGCAAATTCATCTCGTTACAATTTTTTTACTTTGTCTATTTCAAATCATAGCATCCATTGCTTAGTTTACTTTTACTTTTCAGCCTATTGAAGAAAAATTAGAGAAGAGGCCTTTCTCCTTTAATCTTGCTTTTTCAGTTTATGCAACATTACTGTTGTGTTTCAAATCAAAGGCCAGGAGGAATCTCGGACCTTAAATTCCGACTGAACATTTTGATTTTAAGTACATTTTTGGTCTCTCTAGAAAACAGTAAAAACAATTATGAGTTATCTGGTTCTAAGACAATACTCTGAATGAACAGTACTGCAGCGTTATGCTTTGGGGAAATTCTGAATGAACCCAAATGATACATAAAAGCCTACACTTCCTACAGCAACTCCTCAATTAACCCTTGAACAGACTGATGTATAAACAGCCAGTAGAGGAATCTACCGGAAGCACTAATACCTTCCCCCAGTCTCCACAGCTTCTGAGAGAGTTAAGGGATGCACACCTGGCCCCCTGCTGGAGTGATCGCTCGCAGGGTGTGGCTTTTTCTAGACTCACCTTCCAAAGAGCTGGAAGAAAAGGGGCCACAAAATCTACTCACGTGACGGTTGTAGCCCGGAACCTATTTTCTGGTGCGATTCAGCATCAAATGTGATGTTTAAATCAGATTTTATGATTTGTTTTGAGAACAAATACATTTTTCTTTTAAGCACGGGTCACCACTGAAGAGTTTACCCCAGCGTCCCTCAGGCAGCACGCTGGCTTACATCGTGCCTGTCCTGAGTGTACCTCCCGCAGGCATCCTTTCAGCCAGCCCAGTCCTGTACTGAACAGATTCGATAAAATTGTCATGTTTATAGTTCCTGCTATGTTATCTTGTAAAAATTAATGAAAAAATATGCAATTTTTGGTCATCCGATATTTAAACAATTGGATTGCTAAGTGGTTTTAAAGCTTTGCGTTTTCTTATATAACAGTTTTTTTTCTGGGGATCCTTAAAACTGTGTTTCTCCCCAGACAACATTTGTATACTTGAGACAGATATTGAGAAAATACAAAGAAAAAGTTAATATTTGTTGTATACTCTCTAAGGCCTTTTTTTCAGAAGTATATGCATTAAAAATGCATGAACATAGAACAAAGAAGATGAGAGTTTTGTTAAGGAAAACTTTCACGCAGAATATACCTCTGTGTGAACAAAACTGCCATAAACCTTCATGTACATTTTCAATATTGACTATCGATTGTACTTAATTTTTTATTTTAAAGAGAAAAAATTAAAAATAACAATAAAACAGTTTCAAAACAGGCTAGTAAGAGATAACAATAAACATTGTGTATTGTTGTATTCATAATAGTTGTCCAGTGTACAAGACATAGGCTTGGAGTATGGTCCAAACAACATTAGCACAGACCTTCCTTTTCAATGAATGAAGAGATACTGGCTGTATAACTGTCTTAACTATCTCGTGTATATATATATTTTTTCTTTTTTCCTTCCTTCTTTTTCCCCTTCTCCTATCACAATTTTTCTTTTCTTTTGGACATATACTTTCTTTGCACCTGCAGTGGGTATACTCTCTTAAATTAATTCATAATTGTAATGGTGGTTTTGATTTTGATTTGATCATCTGTTGATGAAGATCATAAATGTGTGACAGATATTTAAGAAAAGAAAACACCCCTCCCACCACTCTGACACACTCACTATTGACATATTAGTGCCTCTCCTTGGTCTTCGCCCTACTTAAATTATTTTTATAAGGTTTTACTGTATTATGCTAACAATTTGATGTCATTATGTTTTCCATTTAAAAGCTCAAGGATTTTTCATGTTACTAAAGTGATTTTTCAAAACACTTCTTTCGTTAAGTGTGCTCTACTTGTTTAAATACCCTTCCACGGTTGGATACCAAGTCTGGTTTGGTTTGGGTTTAGACCTATATATTATAGTGTGTTGGAGATATTTACCTTGAATGTATCTTTTTAAACACACTTTGCACCTCTGAAACATGTATGTCTGCAGATAGAATCACTGCGTGAAAAGGTACCAGAGTTCCTAGTTGTGGCTACATATCGACAGTGCTTCCAGGTAGAAGTAAAATAACTTTTCATTGCACCTCAAAAAAGTCTGAGAAGCTGTTTCTGTGTAAGCTTTTCTCATTAACATTAAAATATATTTTAAGCATTTTTAAATATTAAAATTAAGTATTTTCATGATTTTAAAATGTGTTATTGTCATATTTTACACTTCCTTCCATGCTTTTAGACTGAGTATGAATGTGTGTGCTTTGAGTTTATAACTTTGTCAGATTTTCTGTTCATTTCCTTTGGCCATTTGCATGGCTTAGGTTGGGGTGCTTTTTTTTTTTTTTTAAGACAGAACATAGATTATTTATTCAATAAAATTTATGGAATTTCTATGATGCTACATATGCATGCATGCATAGATTTTCAAATATCAATAAGAAAATACATCTGTTCTCATGAGCACTTCAATACAGAGAAGACAGGTGGTATAGTGTGTACCTTAATATCCCCCAAATGTCTCATGTGCCCATTGGCATGGCTTTTGCAATGTGATTGAATTATGAGGGCTTATAGTTGACTTCTTGTTAGGAAGGGAAGTCTGGTTAGAAGCTCTGGGTCACTAGAGGTGATCTTTTTTCCCCAGTGGCAGGTCCTTGCACCATGCCTTGGAGCCAGCTGACTTTATTTTTTTTTTTTTTATTTTAGAGATAAAAGGAAAATACTAACAGATCGACAACGTTTTACAAAATAGCAAAGGATCAGTACAGACATTACAGAGTTACAAACAGAGTGGTAGGAAACCAACAATGCTTATTGTATTACATATTGATATCTTCAATGTAGTTTCTCATGAAAACA